TGCGGGAAAAAGAGTGGATACAGTATCATAAAACTGTTCCCATGTAAGTCAGGATAGATGAAACTTTGTTTCATGTCCCTTGTCTCGAGCCTCAGTTGCGTGTTTACGTCGCAACTCGGTGTACAGACTCTCACGGTCGTTATTCCCTATATTCTTACAGAACACGTGCATACCCAGGAACTCGTACCATCGCTGAGCATGGTCCTTTGTTATATCTGGACGTTTAAGGTCTGCATCAAGTTTCAGAATGTAACTCTGAATATAGGAGTATTCTCAACTGGTTCAGTTAAGATTGAACTCAGTCCTGGACTGCGCATGTCTTTGCTTAATAAGGACGTAACCAACTAACATACAGCTGGCCAGTCACGACAAGTGTCTAGCTCATGCTGGTGTCGCTGCAGGATCAGATAACTGGTACCTGTAGGGTCAAATGTCTGCATTAAGGCAGAGATCCATTGCTGGGGAGCGATATCATTCGTCTCCAGCATGACCGTAAACGCATTAAGCGTACAAGTTAGAGTGTCGAGGTCATGGTTGTTTATAAACTCGACCTGCTTGCTGTTGGCATCCCAGTTCGACTTAAGTCGACTGATCTGTCCCTTGTACTTCTGGTTGTCCCTGTGGTCTTGTCCACGTTGGGCCTGAAGTAATTGGTCTATGCGCTTTTGCTTAATCGCAATAATATTCGCATAGTATGCTACGTCATTAACATGATGCGCAGCATGGGCGACTTCCAGTTTATTGGTATAGTCGTCGACCGATATATTAAGGTCGGTCACCTCGTCAGAGTGGAAGTTCTCTGCGGGTTGGTGTAATGCCTTGCGGTCGAAGCGATTAAACTCGACATTGTTCACATGTCTGCGGGGATGATTAATATCCCTTGGGGTCGGAATAACACACCCAGTCTTAACTGGTTTCCGACGGTTGTCCTCCCAATTGGGTACAAGTGGCGGAGTATATTTCCTTACCTCTCGGTCTATAATACCTTTGAGGACAGGTGACTCACGACCAGGTATCAGAACAGGCGAATGATTAGCCTGTTCTTCTGGCAGTAATGCTACTGAGAGGAATATATATAGGCCATGTCTCAGCCTCACAATCTCTCAGAGTATTGCTGTTTTTACGAGGCATACCTAACTTTACTAAGAGACTCATTTAGTTTATTTACTTAATTATACTTAGACTAAACCTAAGCGTTTAATTACTCTATGGCGTTAATATCGCCTTGATAGACCGAAACTTACAGAAACAACTGCGGAAGATACTTCAACAATCTAATGTTGTTAATTACGCGTCTCAGGAGTCTACCCCTCCTGATGCTGAAGTTGCCCTATCTAACGGGATTATGGTTCATCCAGCCAACGTTACACATAATCTGACTGACTTAGAAGAGCTCGAGAGTAGAGTTAAAATACATAATTTATATCATCGAGCATATGAGCATACTTATAAGATGGCTATCCGTGCAGGGCTTGATCACCCGGCGCTGAAAGAAACCATACGTGAGGTATACCGACGCTGTACTGATTGTGAAAAGAACCAGATCTAGAGCTACGGTTGGGCACCCCTAAAAAGTGTGACAGAAGACCAATCGATGCGCCGAGTCATAGTCGGTTTCGTTAAACTCCCGCGATCCAAGCATACTGGCGATGTATGTATCTGTCATTTCTATGTGTGGCTTCGGGCTATAATTTGCTTTATACAATACCGAACAAACGCCCGCAAACTGTGGTAGAGTTATGCTATCATGTCTTTAATGACTTCGGTTTCCCCCGAGTACTATGTTCTGATAACGGTAGTGAGTTTTGTACCGACGTAACGGAGGCACTTATACTTGTATCAGGTATGACCCATAGGCGTGGTGTTCCTTATAAACCTTAAACGCAGGGTGCAAATGAGACACGTCATAGAGAACTAAAGAAGCTATTGCGTACCGCACTAGATGTCGTTGAGGATATGTGGTCTTATATTTGAAATGGTCTCAGACTCAAATGAATAACTGCATGAATCCTCAAACTAGAACACTCTCGTTTCACTATTTCTTTAGCCGCTATAGTGAATTACAAGCAACGTTTGACAAAACTGCGCCCGAGAAACACGCTACTCCGTGGCTACAAAAGATCGAGCATATGCAGAACATTGTCTACCCTTGTTTACTCGAGGACAAAAATCGTGTCCTACTTAAAGCGTATGACCGATGGAATAACACTAAGAACATTGTTCAGTTCAAAGTTGGCAATTATGTTAATTTTATAAATCGCAATGCCAACGTTATCAAACTCTCTTCTAAGACAATTGGACCTTTTGTTATTTCCTAGCATGATGAGAAAAGTGATACTTACGAAGTGAATAACATAGATGGTACTAGCGCAATTAATCTAGGCACTCACCGTATCCCTACTTCCGAACTCTCATTCGCTCGCTCATTTGATTTTGATGTCCCAGTTATGGAGTCACAAGTCAAAGATATAATTGACAAATATCTGAAAACGGATACACTTACTACGAGATCCATTTTATGGATGGGACAGTAGCTTGGCTAACCTCCGATGCGTTTCGTGAATCTCGCGACTTCCTTCGTTTTTTTTTAAATAAGAAATGGAATAAGTGTTTACATAAGAATACACGAGATAAACGGAAAGAATTTCCTCAGGTGACTACAAACCCGGATGGACATAAAAATTACCTATTTGCCACCTACTTCCTTCTCGACCGGTTTATGACGGATAACCTGGTCCTTCTCGGTATCTCGTACTCTGCACTAACCCATTCTGCGGCACTACACGGCGCAGACTCGATCCGTACCACAGAGGTGGGTACTCTACTTAGTAGGTCAGCAAGCGAATATATGGAACATTCGATAGTAACAGTATTTTGTCAACACCGGCCCGAATTGACTCAGCACATACCTTCCATTGTCGACTCACTTGGCCCAAGCTTCAAACGGGAATTTACTGACCACTTCTTCCCATCAATCTTTCCTGGACCACTACAGCGACTATGAGAGCCATACCATACCATTTTTGAAATAATTAATATTATCCCTATGTGACTAAACTTTCTGAACTGCTTACCAACAGAGCAGAAAATTCTTCGAGCTTACCTACTAATGAAGAACAACCTTTGGCTATTACCTTACCAAGTAATAAACGTAAGGCGCCTACATCGGAAATGGTAACTGGACCAAATACTAAACGACATAGAGTAAAACATGAATCTTGAGCTCGTACATATAGGGATAATATTATTATTTATTTCAAAAATGGCAAATTTGTATGATACAATGTATGAACATATGGTATGGCTCTCATAGTCGCTGTAGTGGTTCAGGAAAGATTGATGGGAGTCCGTGATTTGTAGATGCGTGGCCATACTTCCGGGCTTTGAAGTCTACATATAGGCACATACTTACTCGATAAGCCATGACCGAAACCGTTTTACTTTGGTTTTCGCTTTATGAACTAGATCATACCTTCACGTACGTCCGTAGTCCTGAAAGCTACTGGGGGCTATGTAGAAATACGACCTCCGGTCAGTCTAAAGTATCAAGATCAAATGAGATTACACATTGGGTTTTATTTGCATCTATAATAATTTAATACAAGTTCTTTTTCCAATATTTCCAAATTGTTTTAAATTCACTTTGATGGCTCCAATAGCCTGAGTATTTGGTATGACTCATTTACTTGGACCTATTTGAGACGATAGTAGATGTAGGATATTATAAACTAAATTTTAGAATCTCTGAATTACTACTTACAGGTTTTGGTCTTCCCGCCGATCTCCAAAATACAATAAGTCTTTTTCTTTTTTTAACTTTTCTTCAGATGGAACTCTATTTATATTAGCTAATATAGTAACTTGACTTACGTTCTTATGTCTATCTACAAATTAGACATGTGGTCATGAACACTCAGTACTTCTAGTGAAAATTATTCAATATAGAACAGCTAGAGGTACGTCCTGTGCGATCGAGGATATTAAGGCTCTTACCAAGAGACAGTCCCGATCATTCTCACGCAAGCTACCACTGTTAAATCCTAACTGACTTAAATTGTATCTTAGTTTATATAACATAGTTTAAAACATAGAAATATCCATCGAAGTTTACAATACAAATTATTTTTGTATTCATCGTTTAATACGGGTTTCATTGCTATATCTCGCGGCTATATGTCAAGCTTAGTATAAATTTAAACATCTGTAGACCCAATTGTGTGATGACTGCGTCAGCCTATCATTTGTAATTATCCATTATTATCGATGCTGGTAAAAATATGGAACTACACACCTAAGATTCACCTACCGTAGAGTATATATCAGATATAGCTATACTCATAAATTTCATTCTAAATTTAGCTACACGCATAAATTTCATTCTAAATTGAAGATGCGATAAGCATTTGTCCATGTTATATAAAAAAGAATGTATGGTAGATAACAGTCGTTACCACGACGCATATGTATACATACCCCAGGATATTTGCTAAAGGGAAGGAGATCTATGTATTAACAATTGGATTTCTCAAGAGAAACAATAGCTATTGTACGAGGAATACAATAATTTTTAAAATCTTACCTCTGCTGCGTCCTGCGGAGAGTGGGGATCCCGGATCGCACTTTCCATCCGCAAACCCTACTAGTAGAGGGAATCATAATAACCCTAAAAAACATGTTTTGTTTTGTTTTATTTGCTTTTTCTCTTGTATACTTACAAAAAAAACAAGTAAAAAGGTATTTGTGTATTTTTAGAGCATAAATATAATGTTTACATATTTTCTGTATAAATTTTAGAGGTGTAGTGCAGCAAGTCACTGGCTCACTGTAGACTGCAGAGTACAAATTATGACAAATCACAAATGCACAGCGGCCAGTGTGTCGTGACACTTTTTTATTATTATGAAAATAAATAGCCTTCTAATAAGGCTCTATTATAAATATATATGAAAAGTGACACTGCGCATTTGTCACACCACTCTGTACATATGTAATGTAAATATATACTTAAAATATAATAAGTGTGAACACTTTTGTGACTCGATTGTGTGAGCGCATTAGCATCACTCTGTACATAGATAGTATTAATGTAAAGGATAGTTGTCTACAATTACGCAACAAATAATTCATACTCACTCGATTGAGACGTAATATTATATTTATATATCTACAAGGGTCTAGTGAACATTTCATTATTCGTGTTCGAATTCCGACCAACGCATGTCCAACAGTTAGTCAGATGTAATTGTAGATACGAAGTCAACATATCAGCTGATTCTGCTACTTCGTAAAATGTCGAAAATAGGTATGTTCTTTTTGAGCACTTCGAACGCACGCTATAGTTGTAGATGGGGATGTATACACCATTTTCGTGTTCGCGATATGACAGACAAGTCTGCCAAGATGTAGTCAGGAATAAGGTGTATTGAACAGTGCTTTCCCCATGATCACATGTGTCCTGACATGATCTATAGAGAATATTACCTATGTGATGTTCTGTATGCACATATACAAATCCACGTGATTATAGTTTTGACCGGTATGTTTTCATAAATCTGTATGCCAATAAAGGAAACAAAGCTATTGTTCCAAGTAAAGTGTAGTAGAAATACAAAATTTAAATTTTTGTGTGA